TGTCTCCGAGGAAATTCACGCTCTGTTCGTTCCTAATTGTCGATTATTTAAATTTTATCCAGCCTCGAGACAGTTGCATTTCTCTCTCTCTCTCTCTCTCTCTTTCTCTCGAGTGTCCGATAGATAATGTGTTGCCCCTTGTTCCGTGTGTCGCGGAATATCGATAAACCTTCTGGTTTTCCCTCGTTTGCTCTGCGAACGTCCGCCGAACGAGTTATCTCGCGAATCATCTTCTTTCTTCCGTTGCATTCGACTCGCATCGGTTTTCCCTCGGTAAGGACGAATGTTTCATTGAACGTGCAGCTTCGTGGCGAGTATTGTTAAACGATTCCTATTCGACTCGGGAATTACCGGTTTTAACGTTTTATCGGTTCGAAGGTACGAGCGAGAGAGGATTTAGCAATTTTTCGAAAAAGAGAATTTTACAGGTGAAACGCGAAACGCTTTCCTTGGTTCGTGCAATATTATTTTCGTGCATATACGACGAAGAAAATGCAGATAATTAAAACGTTATTTTTTTTTTACGTCGGGTAAAATATTTGAATGATACTTACAAGTACACGTGTCCAGTAATACATACAATAATATAAACAGTCTAGTGACAATCTCCATACCGACAGTTTCCATTTAAACCAGTCTTCTGTTCGCGTTCCATTAAACTCTCGCACCAATCTCTTCTCTCAACACCGTAGTCTTTTTTAATTTAAGAGAAAACGATCGACACTAGCGTCATTGTGTGACGCTACGTAACACGCCACAGCGAATCGGAAGAAGAAATTGCTCGACTACCGAATTTCAAACTCGAATTTACGAATGTACGATATTTGACAAAGTCGTCCAACGATAAATCTTGGAGAAACATCAGTTCCGATTGAAAAGAGACGCCGTTGTCGCCGCTACACGCCCGCGCGATCGTTCTTTTTTTCGCTGTATGGGGGAATGTATAACGTGGGAACGCTGGTCCAGAGTTATACATTCTGGGTAACTCGGTTAAGTTGATGGACGTTCGCGCGAAACGAGAAAACCGAAAAAAGTCGGTCCCGCGATGACGTTTTGTGACTGTGTCGCGCGTCGATCGCTCCATCACTTTGCAAGATTGGAATTTTCAAAAACCGATCACGCTCGCAAACAGAGAGTAACAGCCGTCGAACCTAACCCAAAGATGGAATTTTCAGCCGACGTTGTGTTTTTCTACTTGCCTCTTTGCCTCGAACAAGCTCCCCTTAGCTGTCGCGAAGGCGATGCAAGCGGAGGCGAATTATTACGCAATTCGTGCCGATTATGTAACCGAAGGATTACGTCGCTCTGGCGTCTCAAACGTAATCGTTGCGTCGCCGTTCGCGCAAACAACCGAAATACCCATTTCCTCACTTGGTATTCTATCAGCTCGGTTTTCGCGCGAGAAATTTTCCGAAAATTTCAAGATGCGATCGTGAGAATGCGAGAAGCTCTTCACGTTTCAAAGCCTCGTCCCATTTTCCCATGTACTATGCGGCGTTGTTTCTTGAAATGTTCGACGTCTGTCCCAATTCTACGCGATAGTCTGTCAAACAACGTGGATTAATTTATATTTGAAGATCGATGGTGAAGAACATTGGGAAATTGGCACATATTCGCGATATACACGTTCGAGAGGGGCGCTAATGGCGATTTAACAACACCTTGTAAAAGTTTCAAAAATTCAACCGCGGCGCTGATCCTGATCTAAAGCGAAGTTGAGTGAAAAGAAAGCGAACAAAGAGAGAGAGAGAGAGAGAGAGAGAGAGAGAGAGAGAGAGAGAGAGGAGAAAGGAAACAACGAGACTGGCCAATTCTCAAGGATATTGCGCGACCGGTAGAATTGGGGCATCGCGAATGGTCCGAGACGAAAGAAAGGGTCGTTTAGCACGATCGAGTTCGATTGGGAAGTTTAGTTTCCGGGTTCTGCCCTGCAGAACTTGCACTAGTTTCGCCTAGGGACGTGCAACTTTCGCGGTACGACGTTACGTTACTTTCAACGTGAGGACGAAACTTTGTTCCACGCCCTGTGCGAAGGGAGAATCTCTTGGCCAAGCGGTTTTCGTTAACCGGGGGCAAATCTTTGAGCAGCAATTTTTGAAGCAGAATCAAGTACATACGCGAAACTTTTCGTTGAAATGGCGTTTAGATGGTGATCTCTTTGTCTGTTGTATATTTATTTTATGTCAGCGTCTTTTATTGGCCACTGTTGGCGTCTATAGGCGCCGCCCGAAAAATGTTACTCACAATAATTATATTGGCAAAACAAAGAAATATTATTCGAACGTGATTATTTTACAGTTATTTCGTTTAGTGTTTTTAGTCAAGACTGCCGTAAGATAGTTGATAAGATAAAGACGCGTAAAGATTCTCTCTTTTTCGTCCGAGTACTGTTCGCGCCATCGGGATTTCTTTGAATCCTGGCCCGGTTTCCTTGAATCGCGGTGTCGTTAAATTCAGAATTCCCACTGCAATGGGAATTCTCGTGTTGCTTGCGCGCGTAACCTATTTGAAACTTGTGCAATTTTTTTAAAAAATGGATAAAAAAGAAGAAGAAGAAGAAGAAGAAGAAGAAGAAGAAGAAGTAGAAGAAACATGGAAAAAGTAATGGAGGCTCGTTCTCGGATAAGAGGCGAAACAGAAAAAAGACTCGCGACTGCATCAGCAAGTTTCCACGTTCGGAACCGAGTTCGTTCGAGAACGGAGCAGAAAGATCCTCCTTTCGGAGTCTAAGGAAAGTCTATCTTTCTCGATATTAAGGGAAATGAGCCGGTCACGGCTTCTTCAACCGAGAATCGTTGTCCCAATTCCGCGATACTGGCGGTGGAAAGCCAATTTCTCCAGCGAGAAATTTTCAACTTTGTGTGTACGTCGTATTCCCTTCCCTGGGCTCGAGATACTCGAAATTATACGTATACGTCGCACCGTACTAACTACGTACGTACGTACGTACATGGATAATTCGAACACGCAATGGAAAATGCAAGTTTTCCTTTCTCCCTTCCTTCCTTCCTTCCTTCCTTCCTTCCTTCCTTCCGACGAGATGATGAAACTTTAACGTCGCGCGCGTGCGAGAGTTCTCACACAGAACCAGACCTCTCTCGCTGTAATTTTGCAAATTTTCTGTACAGGCAAGACAGAAAGTTCCCGTCGACACGTTTATTACCAGCCGACGTACGAGAATTTGTCCGACTAGATGAAATTTGCGGATGGAACTTTGGAATTCTCGGTGCTGCCTGGTGATAGCCGTCTAGTCAAAGTGGTCAAAATGGCCAATGGTGTTTTTAAAGATTTGAATAACTTTTCGGGAGATATGCAAATAAAAGCTTGTACTCTCAAGTTTCTCTATTTTTTCGACTTGGAATGCCTCTGATGGAAATTTTATGCTTTAATCGTCGGTAGTTCTAGTGTTGGGGTAATGGGCCATTTCGTTTTATAGTGGCGTAAAATCGAGAGAAACATTCGTGTTGCTTCGCGGCGCTGTTTTTCTACCATCCAACCCTTCCGAAGGGCGTCAAGAGCGTTTAAAACTAGGAAAAAAGAATAAATAAATTTGACGAGAGAAGTGGAATACTCTTGGTCGTGGTACAGTAAATACTTTTCATTCCGTCGTTGATAGAAGAAACGTCCCTTCTCTCCTGCGATACGAGCAAACAGATATTTCTCAACGTGTGTCCCTTTGCATCGCTCGGATGAAAGAAACTCGCTTTGTGACTCGTCACAGTCTCTTTTTAATACGACGACGTATCGTTGTTGACGCACTGAAGCAAAGTCGAGTTTGCCAACTCGATGCTGCTGTTTCTGCTGCTCTTGCAAACACCTTTCTTTTATTAAATATATTTTCTTATACGCGTGTAATCAGCTTCGAAAGCTTGAGAAAGCACCCGAAAAGCGTTACAACTTACACACGCGTGCACGTGCATAAAAATTTCTCAACCCTTTTCCTTCTGCATTTCTTCGTATTACTTATCTGTATTATTTATGAAGATAAATAACTAAAACTAAAACTAAAACAACTTTAACTTTTGTCTGAAACCAAACGAAGACGTTTGTCTTTCCTGAAAGTTGAAACGTAAAAGTAAAGTGGACGAAGCGGGTGAAGCGTGCGACGGTGGCAACGAGAAATTTGCGAAATTACGTCTGGAGAAACTGACGGAATTGTAAATCGCGACTCGACGCTATCGTCGACCGCAAAGTCAGGCTTGAGCTTTTTCGCTCACCGGGCAGAGGACAGAGGACAGAGGACAGAGGACAGAGGACAGAGGACTGCCCGGAGGCTTCTCGAATGCGCTGTTACGGAGGAGAAAAAGCAAAGAGGGTTGGAGGAAAGAGTTTCCTTCGAGTTTCGGGCAGGGATTGAGAAAACTTTTGCTCTTTGATCACGTCGGTCGGGATACGCCTTTGGTGTATTTGGCGATCGCGGCAACGGACGGATCTGCTTAGAGAAGGGGAGGAAAAATGTTGGCAACCGGAGAGAGGATGGATCCATTCTTTCTTTTAAGAGGGGCTGTGCTCTCAAGTTTCAAACGACCAAGCATTTACGAGGAGCATATATCGGTGAAAGTAATATTCAAAGTAGGAAGGAACGTAGGTAGATGTACGTGCATGTACGTCGTTTGGACGATATCCATATCTGGTACACGTGACACTATTAAACAGGAAGCGACAGAGTGTGAGAACTTGGCCAAGAGAACCGTTCGGCTATTGCACAACTTTTTGTCCCTCTTGTCAATTAGAAAATTTCGGAAAAGTAGATTTGGATCGTACGCGAACGCAGCGTAGAAACCTACTTGCGACGTTTGACGTTCGAAGGGAAAATCGAAAGTTACTTTTGTTTTTCGAGTTACGAGACGAGAGAGGGAGGGAAAGAAAGAAAGAAAGAAAGAAAGAAAGAAAGAAAGAAAGAAAGAAAGAAAGAAAGAAAGAAAGAAACTGATCGACAACCGTTAAGATCGAGTTAACCGGAAACGGTTGTTTAGAAATTGAATGTTGAAGAAGCGTACCGGCTTCCATGCGAGCTGGCGAGCCATCGGGCACCGTCTTGCCCTGGGACTTTGGAGCAGCCTCGCTCATGTTTTTGCCGCGTCTTCCTTCGATCCTTGGCGGCTAGACCGTCTCCTTCTCCTTGTTTACCAGGAGGATCGCACTCGGTGCCTTTGGCAACTTTCTTCGCGCTCTCCTCTTCCTCCTTTTTTTGCTCCCAACGATTTTTTGGGGGAATTTACGTCGAGACGATATTTGGCACTTTGACTGTTGTTTGGTCTTGTCTGCTCTGAAGAAACCCACTGGTCACTTTAACCGAATCCCTCGGTGGAATCCACACGGCTAGCGCGAGCGAAGCACTTTCGAGATGTTTTGCCACGGAACAAAGGAAAGGATGCCTCGGAAATTTTGATTCGGGGGAGGGAGAGAGAGGGAGAGAGAGAGAGAGAGAGAGAGAGAGAGAGAGAGAGAACGCGACGACGGTGAAGGCAAGGCGCGAGAACGGGAAAACGGGAGAACGAACGGTGCGCGAGGTGCCGGAAGGTGCCGCGACGGGAACACGCTCGCCGGGCCCGGACGAGTCTCGCGGAGGGTGTGTTGGCTCAACGCTTCAGCCTCGTCTTCCGCATCCCTCCTTCGGTGGCGCGCACACACACATATATATCCATATATATATATATCTATATGTATATATATGTATGTATATATACACACGTACCGAACACACGCGCGCGCTTCGGTTACGTTTGTCTGTCTCTTGTCGCGGTGTCACAAGGTCACGGGATCAGCGACGCGATCGGTTGGTCCAGATCGAAAGAGAGTGCCGGCTGGTCGCTCGCTAGGTCGCGCGCACGCTCTCCTCTAATTAAACCACGCCGGAACGACGATCCCCGGAAGCGCGCGTCCGTGTGTTCGGGAGGATCGATCGTTCCGATTGCCACGAAGGCGCATCGACAGGTACGTGGAACCGGGTGTATTTCCCTTTCTCTCTCTCTCTCTCTCGCTCGCTCTCTCTCGCTCTCTCTCTTCTCGTTTTCCTTGTCTCCCGTGCTATTTTCAGTTCTCTCTCGATGGAAATTTTCTCTCTCTCTCTCTCTCTCTCTCTCTCTCTCTCGTTCGGTGCGTCGTACGTAGGTACGTGCGGTGTTTGAGAGAATCGGACACTCACGAAAAGTTGCCAAGGTACGTACCCTTCGATGGAGGAGGGTAACGGGCGGGCGGGGGGGGGGGGGATGGGGGGATGGAACGAAAAGAATCGAGACAACGAACGAAAGCCGCGACAAAAACGCGAGGAGAGAATCGACGCGCGACGAAACGGATTGTCCGATGGATGGACGAGCAGCTGGTTGCAGGTCACCAGCCCTGGACGCTCGTCTTCCCCGTGGCTCGGATGCTGCGGAGTGCTGGAGCACCTTCGCCACCCTCTGCCCTCTTCCCCTTCTCTCCGCGTTCCTCCGCCACTCTAGCGCGCGCCGCCACCGCTCCGCTCCCTCTATCCCTTTTTCTTCGTTCCACCCGCTAACGGCGCTCCGGTCGTTGTCAGTCGGTCGGTCGGTCGGTCGGTCGATCGGTCTGTCGGTCGGTCTGTCGGTCTATTCGGTCGATCCTGTCCGATCGCGTCCTGGATCGGATTGGATTGGATTGAACTGATGGTCGGGCGTGGAATCGCGGGAGCTAGACGACGCGAGCCGTTCGACGGAGACGGCCGCTGGCTAGGCGAACCAGCACCGAGCACACGCAGCGCGGCTACGGTGATGACGACGAGGGTGGTAGGTTTCCCCGTAGCGGAAAACGGGAAAACGTCGACTGAGACGCGAGACCGAGGGGAGAGGACGTGGCCCGAGAGGGCTTACTCCGACGAACACTCCCGGCTTTTCCAGGCCTTCTCCCTCCCTCCCTCCCTCCCTCCCTCCCCCTCTCCCTCCCCCCTTACCATCCCTCTTCCGCCCCTCCTCGCTGCGCACGCTCTATCCGCGCGACTCCCTGTTCCTGCGTCCCTGCCACCCTCTATCCCTCTCTATCGCCCGGTTTCCCATCTCCTTCTCTACCTCTCTCTCCGCCGCACCCTCCTTCCTCTCCGCCCCTGTCCTCTCGCGCTCTCCCATCCCTTATTTCTCCTCCTTCTTCCTCTTTGTTCCCTCGTTCCCTCTCGTTGCCGCTCTTTGCATCGTCATCTCCCTTCATCTCGCGACTCTCTTCTCTTCACCCTTTTCCGTTCGCCACCGCCGCCGCCGCCGCCGCCGCCGCCGCCGCCGCCGCCGCCGCCGCTTGTTTTGCCCCTGCTCTACCCCTGCGCTTCTTCTTTCTCTCCCAACCGATGTGACACTTCGTACGTATTATGTACACCCGACCCGTTTCCCTTCCTCTCTCGCGCTAGTAGCGTCTATGCTTCTCGCGTCTCGCGTTTGTTGGTTCGCTCGCGCCGTTCGCGAGCCAGCTGCGACACGACGCGACACGACGCGACACGACGCGACGCGACGCGTCCCGGGCGTTCTCAGCTTTTCCACCCTCGGCGCGCGCACGCGCGCCGTCAACTCCCCGTGATCACCGGTGGTCACGTCCTCTTTTTATCTCGCTGCCGCACCACTCTCTTCCAATCTCTCTCTCTCTCTCTCTCGCTCTCGCAACTTGGAAAGATATTACGGAACGAGATCGAACAAACTCTTTGGATAAAGAGACGAGATAAGGAGGTGGTCCCATCCCCTTTTCTTCCCTACCGCTTTCCGCTCTACATTGTGTTTGTTTTCCCTCTCTCTCTCTCTCTCTCTCCCCCTCTCCCTCTGCCCTTCTTTACATCTTTACGTCTTTGTTTCTCGAAAAATTACACACGGCAGGCAGTCTTGTTCCTCTTTGAGGAAACATCTTCTTTCAAAGACATCGGCCTCTCTATACTGCCGTGGTAACTATACCACGTCGTATCTCGCCGCCGTAATAATTCCAACAGAGTCGACGTTCCGCTCCCACACTCGCACGCGTGTCCTGCCTCTTTGACTTTTATTTCACAAGCCGCGTGTACGAGCGTGGGATTTTCGTTCTCCGGTCGGCGAGCTCACCCACCGGTTTTTCACTTTATTCTCTCTCTCTCTCGCGCGCGCTCTCAACTTTGCGACGTGCTTTGACTCCCCTTCCTAATTTCACGTGGAATATTTCAACCGCTGATCAATTATCCTCCTCCGCGAATTCCGTCTGAATATTTCAACCGCTGATCAATTATTTCTCCTCCTTTGCGATTCAATGCTGATTTTCTTTCGATTCTCATTTCCTAGGCGTATTATTCCCTTATTCCAGCGAATATAAAATCGATAAACTCGCGACGACGGAACGCATTAAAGAGAGAGAAGGGAGGTTTGTGTTTCGAAAGCTCGCGTTTTCTCTACCGTCTCTCGCTTTTGTCTCTCGTTTATCCTCGTCTCTTGTCGCCCGTTCGTCGTTCATTCGTCAAACGACCAGAAACGTCAAAATTCCGTTTCATTCCGTCCCGTCCCGTTCCGTTCCGCCTCGCGGAATCGGGCAACGCGACGTCCCTTTCGCAATTTCGGCGAAACAATTCGGGACCGCTAGCTGGAAAGCGGCGAGAATTTCGCTTTAAACGGAACTGTCGCCCCGTTTTGTTCGTCGTCATCAGCTCAACCGCGACGAACAAAAAAAAAAAAAAAAAAAAAAAAAAAAAAAGAAACTCTTTGTACGATTGCCTATTCGTTTATCTATTCGATCGCGTTCATCTGTCGATGCGTTTGTCAGTTTTCCGTCCCGCTTTATTACCTTCGTACGTCAGACGAACGAAGATGGTCGTCGCGAGGGGAACAAGTGCAAAATTCCGCGCGATTTCTCCCGCGTTGCAACGACGTTATTTGAGCGACGTGCTGGGGAGGAAAAAAAAAAAAAAGGAAAAAAAGCTGCGGGTTATTTCCACCATAAAGCGCGATATTTATATCACGAGGCGCGTACTTACGCGCGACCCAAAGCCGGCGGTTTAAGCTCCGTTTGAAACGACGCTCGATCGAACACGCTCTCGTTCCCTCTTTACCTCTCGTCGAAAATGCCCGAGGAATTTTGTATTTCCAGCGGGCGCTGTCCATCACTTTTTAAAATTAAACTTGAGACGAACACGATCGCCGATCGCGACTATCGTTGCGATAATTTGCAAAATTTTTTTCCTTCACTTTTGGTTTCTAACAACTCTAGCAGCATCGACAGCAGCGGCGGCGGCGGCGGTGGAAGAGATTGAAAAGATGTTTCAATTTGCCGAAAATTTGACGCACCCGAACGACACCGGAGGGATTTATTTGTCCGCGGTGCAACTCGTTTGCAACAGAAATGATCCGTGGCCTCCGCTATTCGGATTTCTATTTGGATTTATTTCCGAGGAAATGTCGTGAATTCTTTTCCTTCAACGGTGGCTGGTTCGTTAGAATTTTCACCATTTTCAACTCGTACCACCATTCTGTTTATCTATTTCTTCTTTTCGTAAACGGCACTCGGTCAATTTTTTTGATAAAATGATCAAACGGTGGACGAAGAAGTAGCTTTGCTCAAAAAGATTTCTTTGGGGACAGGTGAAACCGATTTCTAGGGATTGCCGCGGTGAAGAGAGATCCAACGCAATGCAACGCAACGCAACGCGAAACGCGTAATCGTTTCTTTCGCGGCACTCGGCTAGTTTTGAAACGCTGCCAGCATGATCGTATCGGGCTAAAAGGCAGTAACGAGCGGCGACGACGTAGGAAACGACGCGAGAGAGCAAGGGACGATCGATTTCTAGATCGTTTCGGCTGACGATCCGCTCGGATCTCTTGGCAGGCGGTCGTTTCGCCGACGAAACTTTTGGGAAAAGCTCGGTCAACGGCCGAGTTTACTGCCGACGAACTTTTACTTCCAGCGACGTTACTGGCCGCGTTGAAGAATCATCGAGCTTATTCAATCAACAGCTCAGATCCCTCTCGTTCCGGATTCCTTGGATCTCGCTCTCGTTTCGAACAAGTGAAACGAGCGAAAAACACGGTTTGCGCTTGGACCAAGCGAAGAAAAAAACGCAGAAATTTATCCGAGAGGATTCGCCTCGCGTCGAACTCTGCTATCGTCCGTTCGTAATACGATGTAAATACGTGTCGTCCCGTATCGAATCGAACGACTCCGAGGCAATGATTAATTCAAGCTCGTTTGCTCGTGAATACAAAGACCTGCAAGTAAAGTAGATGGAAATCGTTCCTCGTATCCACTGTTCTTTCCTTACTTTCCGTTCGTCTCCACCGGCTCCGGTTTGTCTGCTGTTCGTTTGCTGAATTGTTTTTTCGCTGAAGACGACGAATGAGACTCGGAGACTTGGATCTTGAAACTAGCTCGTGTCCTCTCCTTTCATTTGATATATAACAAAGTTATATAACAAAGCTTAAAGTTAGATTTTTTTC